GCCCTGGGGTGGGGTGGGAGGAAGAGACTTGTCACTCGTGCTTATAATTTAGTCTATCCTTCAGTTGAAAGATCCAGGTTGGTGCCTTTGCTGCCTTCTCTGGAGACCATTCTGACAATGGCTTGGATGACAAGGAAATGACTCATTGCAAACTCTGATTTCATGAGATGGCTTAAAGAAAGGAGCATGATTCATGGGCTAAATACACATGGTTGGTGTGGCTTGCTAAATTAGATATATGCACCCCGTGGTTTTCAGCATACAGGTGTTTACCTGCTTCCAGAATTCAAAAACACTTGCCAAATGGTGGCTCAGTATTGGATTAGGGTGAGAATTCATGGTGACCCACCCCAACTGGTATTCTTCCCTGTTGATGGTGGGTGAAGCCCTCCTCCCCGTGAGCCTCAGTTTATTCATCTGTGAAATGAGGATTTGGACTGGATGATCTCCCAGATTCCTCTTAACCCTTGTTTCTGTGATTCCACCTTTGTGGTTTAAGAGCACAGAAATCAGAAACCATTCTTTCCATTCTCTTGGCAAGAAGACACTTATTTCTGCCTTGCTTTTGGTTACGGACCCTCCATCCCTGCAGAGGAGTGTGGGGTCTCTGGCCGACTGGAGCTGGGCGAGGGCAACATGAAGGCCAGAGGGAGCCAAGTTTGGATTCTCATGAAGTTGCACTGAGTCCTGCCCACCTTCTCTCCTGGGAAGATTGTTGATTCTGGACAACTGTCTTGTTCCACCAAGCTGACTCTGCCTTTTCAACATTGGAGGTGTTCATGAGCCCCTTGTGGGCTTTGGCACAGGCATGGACTAATCTGGCTTGGTGGCTGAGCTCAGAACGTGGAGTTGGCATTTGACTAAGATACTGTGGAGTCTTGGTGCTGAGACATCTCTGTTTCTTCTTTCAGACCACAGAGTATTCAGCCATGGCCTCGCTGGCTGGTGGGCTGGACGACATGAAGGCCAATCTGGCCAGCCCCACACCTGCTGACATCGGGAGCAGTGTGCCAGGCCCGCAGTCCTACCCCATTGTGACAGGTGAGGGCACCTGGGGTGTGGGGGATGAGTGAGGGAGGAAGAGAGAGAGAGGAGTGTATGGTGGAAAGAGTGGCTTCTTGGTGTGTTTGGATGTGATTGGCCAATTTTGTTTAAACGAGGTTATGAGGTCTGGGAACAGGTCAGATGCTAGGGCCAGGGTTGCAGCTGTGATGAGACATGGCTGGATATGGTTCCAACAAAGCCGGGGAGAACAAATGCCAAATGGACTGTGGGCTGGAGGGGACTTGGGGTGGGAGGCAGGAAACCTCCTGCCAGAGGGGCCCCTGTGGGTGGGGCTGAGTGTTCAGAGGCCTAAGGTTTATTGCTTTCATGAGAAAGGCCACCCTGGTGGGCACCAGCCTCAAGGAGGAATGGGATTCTTTGCAGATTGCTGTTGGCAGGCAGAAACTGAGTCAAGAACGGCAGGCGGCGTAGGCTGGAAGGTGCTTGGTGGATGCAAAGCAGCCACCCTCTGGAAGTCCCAGGGCCAGACTGTTTAGCTGTCTTTGTAGAGATTGGGAGTGTGGGTCCTGGAGGTGCACTGTGGTGTTTGATCTTGCCATTTACTAACTGTGCAGTCTTGGGTGAGCCATGTATACGTTCTGGGCTGTGACTTTAAGCTGCACAGCGGGACTAGTGCTAGCAGCTGTCCCGGGGGCTGTTGTGAGCATTAATGGGTTCGTATGTGGAAGGTGCCTGGACTCTCATCTGGTACACAGTAAGTACCCAATACATGCAGCTGTTAGGATTCTTCTCAGAACCCTCTCCCTGTGGCAGGTCACCATGGGGCTTGCTGGCTTGCTGCTGCAGAAGGGCTGGATGCGCGGGCCAGGACGGGCAGACCCCTGGCCCAGCTGTGCTGGGATAACGTGGAGCCGACTCCATATGGACAGACTCAGCTGCCAGCTCTTGGTTGTCCAACCGGGCAGGCAGGAGGCCCTCTTGGATACTGCACAAATAGACAAGGGGCTGGCGGGCCACACTTGGGCCAGAGCCGTGGGTCCAGTTTGAGGTAGCAGGATGCCCATGTGGACTGATAGGTAGGGCACAGTGAATAGTGACAGTGACATGGGACTCGTAGACATGCAGGTGAACTGTGGGTGCATCAGGGAAGCTGGGTTAGACTCGGTCAGAACAGTGGAGGGTGTCACTTAGGCCAAAGCAGCAAGACAGGGAGGGCCCAGCGCCGAGACCTGGGCTGACGGGTCAGCACTGAGGCTCAGGCGGAAGAGCGGGGCCCTATTTGCAGCTCTGAGCACCACGTGAGGGCCAGTCAGGTGGCAAGAGCGACTTTGTCCCCCATCCACCTGAGGTGGGCCAAGAGCTTGGAGTGCACCCAGGTCTGAGGTGGGAGATGTTAGTGACGGACAGGGAGCCGGGGAGCCCCAGCTGGAGTGAGCTTTTGCTGACCCCACAGGTGTCCGAGGAGGTCCCCTCTCCTGGTGTCACAAGAATCCATGACAAGACCTCTGAAGGCACTCCCATTTCACAGATGCAGAAACCAAGTCTCGGGGAGGGGCAGTGGCTTGCCCAACATAAGGGGTAAGGGGGAGTTAGAGTTGGCCCTCTGGCTCCTAGATCCTGAGCCCTTTTTCCTTTTTTTCAAGGAACTACAAGTAATTATAGAGGTGGGCATGGCAGAGTGCAAAGAAGCC